GTCCCTCATTGATTCGGTTTACCTACCAGAGATGACCCCTAAAATGTATGAAGACAATGGTGGTTCATGAAGACATTCACGTTGAAGATAATGATATGTGAAGACACTCATTTGAAGACTATGGAATGCGAAAACATAGTTTCTTTTGTAGTTTCATTTTCTTCTTTATTGACTCATAGGAACCACCGAACTCTTAAGTGGGGTCCAAGTGAACAAAGTCAGAAGACTGACGTGATGCTCAACCCAAATCCTATGTCTTCGAGAAATGGGAGCCAATCTTATCCAGAGTTGGATGAGTCAGCTTTGCTTGTTGCCCAAGCCAAGATGCCATGTGTGTTCGAAATATGATTGTTGGACACGTGTCGGTTCCTTAGTGACCCAAGCTCATTTCGGACATATCATGTCGGGTTGCCTCCTGGCTATAAATAGCCACCCCCTACACCATAAATAGGTGGCTGCTCAGATTAGTGCATGGCTTTTGTCATTTGAGAGCAACCCACCTCCGAAGCCTTTGAGAGAGAGATCCTTGCGAGGACAAAGCCCAAAACACCCAGAGCCAAAGAGTGTTAGGCATCATTGAAGTATTTCCGTCCGCGTGATCTGAAGACTTGTTACACTTGAGGACTGTGCATCCTCCAGCCGGTTAGGCGTCACGTTTTGAGGATCCAAGAGTCATTGTGGATCGTCAGTGAACGGAGTCTGTGACGGTTTGGAAGTCTACCTTGAAGACTTACCAGAGTGATAGGGCGAGGACTGGATGTCCTTAGCTCAAGGGTATTAAGTTGAAGATGTGGTCTTCTGAGTTCAATCTTAGCCTCCCTAACCAGACATACAGTTGTCACAACAACTGGAACTGGTCTACCAAATCCTTGTCTTCACCAAGCTACTGGTCTTATCTTCCAACCCATTTACATTTCAGTTTGCCTTCGTGAAGTCATTGCTTGCTTGCCTGATATGTTTGACTTCATTGTTTGAAGACAATTTCCTGTTTGGCTTCATACTGTCTTCCATTATGATCCAATCTAGCTAGCTGCCATTAGTCTTTCTGCTTTCATTACTATGCTCACTTGACTATGGCTTGGCTAGTGTAGTTTATCTTCCGCTGCATATCATATAGGTTCAATTGGATTGATTATCTTCAAAGAACCCGTGTTTTGAGGGCTTTCATAAAAATCGCCTATTCACCCCCCTCTAGTCGATAACTAGCACTTTCACTTAGTCTCCGTCTATGTATCGTCTCTGGCATCGGTGGGTCGTTAGCTCCAATGGTTATAAGTTGCATACAATCACCCCCACCGTAAGATCGTTGGGTAGGGTATAGGAGCGATTTTGTCATTATTTACCACAACATAGATTTCACTAGGATGAACGTATGAAGCTGGTAATTCAGGCAACAACACAGATTTGATTCAGGCATGGGTCATGTTGGTCCACAAGAGAGCAGTTCATTGCAATAAAAATCGCCCTGGACATGGAGAGGATGTCCAGTCTGAACAATAACAACAACAACAATGATGATGATGATGATGATGATGATGATGATGTAGAGGTTGTGAACAGGCTTCCGATGGAAAGAGCACCTTTTCTCCAAACTTATGGGCATGTTTAGGGAGGGGAGTTGTTACAAAATAGCATCCACACATCTGTGGAAGTGCAAGTAGCATTGTTGCTTCTGGTAGTGGGTCATAACTAGAGGTTCAAACTGTTTCACAGCATTTCAGGAGATCAGTAGACAACTTCAGATATTTTAAGAAAGTCTGGTATGCGATTGGGGAGCTCAGAGGAGCAATGATCAAGGCACCAACTAGGCAAACTCCTTTCAAGATTCGCACGAGCCCTAGATGGTATGCATATTTCAAGGTGAGCAGTCATTACATGACATGCTTGTATTGTTTTGAGTGAGGCATAAAAGTTTTTTCATGCCACCACATGATTGTATTGGTTCAATAGATGATACTCATGTGCTGCTAGAGTGTCAAGGTCACATGATGCCGTATACATGGGTAGAAAGCACTACACAGGCCGGAATGTGCTTGCTGGTGCCAATTTTGTTCTGAAGTTCACATATGTGTTAACTGGCTAGGAAGGATCAACCCATGATGCTAACATTCTTGCTGACAACATGTCTCGACCTGATGAGATAAATATCTTCGATGGTAAGTTTTACCTAGGTGATGTTGATGCATGTTGGCTTAGTGTTCTTTCACCCTTCAGGAAAATCAGGTACCATCTGAACAAGTTCTCTTCTCGAAACTATTCTAGTACTACCATCGAATTGTTCAACCTTAGATATTCGAACTTTAAGAGTTACAATTGAGAGGGCATTTGATGTTTGGACTAATAGATTTAAGATCCTGGATCAGAAGACATTTCACCCTTTCTCCATCCAAGTTAGACTTGTTATTGCATGTTGCATTCACTATAACTGGATCTTAGAATGGGGTTATGATGAGTTTGTGCCGGAGGAGAGAGATATGACGACTGATGATGTTGATGACTCCGACCATGGCGTGGAGGCACATGACAATGGGCTTGGAAGAGCAATTTTTTTGAAGTGGACTGAGGTAACGTGGGCCAACAGAGGTAACATACGAATCTGAAGAAGAAGAAGAAAAAACAGTGATAGAAGAAGCAACAACGACAGAAGAAGACGAGGACGAAGAACTTCTACCTAGTTCGTCGTTGATGAACTTTCCCCATTGGGCCATATGAATATTAATTTGTACCACCTTTGTTAGTAATTAAGACAAACTAACATTTGTCTAGTATTCAGGACTAAAACGATGTTAATCTGATACTATCCATGAACTGTAATGTTCGGTAAGATCAACACTAGTGAGAAGGAGTGACCCTGAAATTAGGCCATACATGCCATGTTTGCACCTTCACAGCCATAATCCCCAACTGTTGTCAACCAAACGACATAGATCAAACAACCTCCTGATGCAATGCAAGCAACAAAACCATACACATAACATGATTTATAGTTTGTACTAGCAAACGTGCTCGTGCATTACAACGGGGAGTAAAAAGATTTATCTAAGCCGCTATCATTTCGGCTCAATTTTGATTCTGACTCGCCATATTGATGGCAAGCGCCTACAACCACACTTAGGCAACACATTTGTGGTGTCGTTTGACACTAAGAAGGCTGCATCTATATATTAAGTTTATTTAAGAAAGCCTACATGTATAACCATCACATGCAACAGATGAAACATAAATTAAGATTGTATTTATCGGTTCCACTATGAACGTGCATGACTATCACATGAATAGTTCGGATACTTTGAAAATAAACATTCATGTACTTCTGATGTTCATGAATTTGACAAGTGTATGTACATCCTATAAAAATTGTTTGTGTATTCACTACAAAAAAGGTGTAGTCCGATGGTATGTATGCGCGTGGATTTTTCAAAGAAAAGGTACGCACGTAAAGTCTTATCTCATGAAAAATGTACAATGAGAGTGATGCAAGTACAACATGCTAAGGATTATAATCTTTCCCAATTATTAACGTTCAATTTTATATGTTGCAATATGGATCCGTGTCGTTACGAAATAAAGATGGATCATGTGCCATTGATTAACATTGTATCCTAAAATGCATTTTAAAATATTTAAACATGTTAGATACCATCATATGCAAATTCTACATATTTTTTAATCAAAATTCATATATAACAGGTTAAAATCAGAATTACGGTTTAAAAGATATGGTTATATGAATATATATACCTACTATTAAAGGGAGGTGATATTCTTGGTTTCGCCCCGTTTTGTCTGGTCCCGCTTCAATTAATTTCACGTATGATATTTGGTTTCGTTACTTGCCACCCGTTTTGGCCCAACGGAGGAAGCCCATCTGGCGACGCACTGCGGCCCAAGTCCGGAGAGCTGGCAAACCTCACAACCGTCCGCACACACTTTGTCCAATTGACCTAGCTAGAGATATGAGAGGATTTTTTTTCTCACGTTGCAACGCACGGGCCTTTTTGCTAGTATATATATATATATATATATATATATATATATATATATATATATATATATATATATATATATGATTCGCTGCCACTTAAATCTAGACCGCGGGTTAATTAGCATAAAATCCAAGGGGTTTTATGTAAACTTAAAGAAAACGGTTCGTTCTAACTAAAATGTGGACCGCGGGTTAATTATCAGAAAAGGCAGGGGGTTTCTATAAAAAGATACGGCGGACAACCAGAAACAACCGCTGCTTTATTATTAATAACTAGCAAAAAGCCCGTGCGTTGCAACGGAAAAGAAAATAACACACACTCTTTACCCAATAACCATGACTCAAGACCTTAATAGGCATGCGTCTTTTAGTTTCACATGGCATCACATTTGTGTTGCCGACAGTGACCTCAGTGCTCACACAATGAAAACACGTTTGAATGTGGTCAGTCCTAAGGTCTCTCTTGCGCGCGCACGTGCGCACACTCGCTCGAAATAAGATGAAAACATTTTGTTTTTTCCCGCAAGGTTTTTTATAGGTGTGCATGCATGGTTCTCGGAGTTTTTTTCTCTCACTCTGGTTTTAATAGATGTTTATTTGCAATTCAAATCACCGATGATATGAAGGAAAGCAGGTCGTGCACTATAGATTAAGTTTGAATAAAATTAATATTTTTGAAATAGTTAACAGCTAAAAATAACATCATATTTAGATTCTACTCCCTAGGGAGTACATATTTTTCTAATCAAATTTCGTATATAACATGTCAAAATTGAGATTACGGTGTAAAAGATATGGATAATCTTGTTTTATAGAAACTGTGGATTGATTAACCGAAACGGCAACGGGTCTTCTTTTAAAACGAAAAAAAACGTTCCGGGAGGGAGTACAGAAATAGATGTTGAGGTTTTTGTTCCGGTCGCACAAAGGTAGTTGCGATCTTGAACATAATTAACACGACTTAATACACAGGTCGGCCAGTTTACGCCGATGAGATAGAAATGTTCGCTCCAAATTAAACATGTGCCTTTCCACCAAGAAGCCGACAGACGAAGAAGGCCGGCCAATCTATCTCGACGGCCATGGCGGTCTTGTAGTCGCGGAGGCCACGGAGGTGGTCCGTCACCTCCTCCATGGCGCCATTCTCCAGATGTAAAATGTACATGCACCGGCAACGGTCAGTGATCAACAGCGTGCCGCTCCTGTCTCCGGCGCACATGCACCGTGGCCTGTCGACGATCTGGTTCTGCTCGGGTGTCATCTCGATCACCCTATCGCGGCGCCAGTCACCGCCGCAATCCTCGTCGCTCGCTTTGCCGCCGTCCCGCCGCGTCCAGATCTCCACCTGGGGATCTTGGCTCGACAGACAAAGCGACGACAGCGTCGCCGCCTTGTTTGGTCCGACGCTCAGATGCGGCGAATCGTACAGGGGGAGGTCGCCCGCCGGCGGCGGGGTCTGTAGCTCCTGCAAGGAGGCGTGGCGAGTGGCGGCGTTCACGTCGAGGACGTGGAACTTCACCAGGTCCCAGAGGACCCAGTGCGCCGTCCCGTGGCTCACGACGGCGCTGCGCCGCTTGAACGGCCCGAAGATGCCGCGCTCTACCGGGTCGAAGCACTCGCTGGGCGCGCTCCAGCTCGGGTCACCGGAGGAGAACGTGCGGAGAACGTAGTGCCGCCGGTCGTCGCTGACGCCGACGACCAGCACCTTGAAGGAGGCCGGGTCCGGCGATTGCCGCTGGCCGTCGTCGGGGCAACAGTCCGCGCCGGTGAGGACGGCGTGGGCGCTAGTGCCAAAGTAGTCGAAGAACCAGTCGCAGCGCAGCGGGGGGAGCACGTGGCACGCGCCCGAGAGCAGGTTGCACACGGCGAGGCGGTCGACGCCGGGCTCCGGCTCCGCCTCCGCCTCCGCCTCGGCGCCGAAGCACACGAGGAGCACGCCGCGGTGCGAGGCGAGCGGCACGACGCGGTCGTCGAGGAGGCCGGCGGCGCCCGGGACGAAGGAGCCGAGCAGGGGGCGGCCGGGGCCGAGCACCGACCCCGGCGCGCGGACGAAGCTGGAGCCCGGCGGCCCTTCCCCGCCGCGGCGCCGCTCCCGGCCGAGGAAGCCGACGAGGGAGGAGCAGTGGCACGCGCCCTCCGGCCAGCGGCGTCGCAAGAAGGACGGCTCGGTGACGAGGTCGCGCCAGCGCTTGCGCGCGGCCGCGCAGCGGAAGAGGTCGGCGACGCCGGGCACGCGCGCGAGGATCTCCAGCACCACGTGCTCCGGCAGCCTCACCAGCGAGGGCGCTTCCGGATCCCTCATCTCGATCTCCTCCCGCGACGCGATGGCCGCAGCCCCATTATTGTACTACTAGTACTACAAAGTTTGCGTAGATGCGCCGCGCCCGGACATTCCGCCGAGGGAAAAGGCAGAGTATTTTATTAGCAAAAATGCTAGACGTATAGAGGGTGGGGCTAGATCTCAGTGAGACTTAACAAAAATACATAGTAAAAATGAAGAAGAAAACTGAAAGAAAATTTTACATGAATGTCCATGTAAGATCACACGAACATAACATCGATGAGACTCCGATAATTCCCAGCCGACTGAGATTTCCAAATTGATCGGGGCATAACCGCTGATCCAATCGGACTCCTCAGCCTTTTCTATTCGTTTCGACTATCAAGCACTCCTCACACTTAACACATACATGAGGCAATATATCCAAAAAATGAGGCAACATAAGAAGTGCTTGGATTTGTCCGATCAATTGCCACGTAGAATTTGGCCCATTGCGGACTATAATCACATGCATATGAGCAGACAATATATAAAAACAAAATAAGAGACATAGCTGCGTGCGTGAAGAAATATGGACACAAAACAGACACATATTCATGTCCATAAACGTTTGAGGGGCTAAATTTAGCAAGTCCGGCCATGTTCCCGCAAAGATGATATTGCCACTTGCCAGCCACGGCGCATCATTGCTTACGCCAGCACGCCAAGATGTACGATTTTAAAGCTTAAGCTCGAACATCTTTAGAGATTGCGAACAGAGTAGATACTCTCGGAAGAGGCAGCGGAATTCACCCTGGAATTCGGGGTAGATCTCGGAAAGAATGGTGGCAGAGCCGAAACCAGAAATGAAGTCGACACATGAACGTGGCTATCAATGGAGCGCTCTGGCATCAGAGAGTCCGTCGGTGTGACAGGGCCGTAACACCATTGTTTGCTTACTTGGAATGTACGTATACAACCTTGTAGGGTAGTGATACTATATGGCTGTCGATCTGAAGGATAAAATATCTCGAGCCACTCCCACTTGCTCAGTCTGCTTTGTCCAATAGGGTAAAAGAGAGTACGGCTGCACGTTCTAGAAAAAGGAACATCTCACAGAAGCACCTACCTAAGTTAGCGCCGGAGCAGCTGCGCAGTGCACTGGACTTGGAGCGCGTCCTCGCCCGGCCCGTACCAGTCCGGCCTTTCGGTGGCTCTAGCAGCCGGGAGAAATGAACAGCTTTCGGCGCCACTGTAGCAAGAGCCATCCTATGGTCCATAATTGTCAATACAAATCTTTTTAGTCTAAAATTACACTCTCAGACCGTCATAAAAGTTTGCTTCAGAAACAAGCTCGACTCCATATTTAAGCATTCGGATGGTGGCAGTGCATTTCTGATAAGAGGAGAAACCAATCTTGCCGACGGCATCCTCTTTGCACTCGAAATAGTCATTATAGCCGACCACCCCCTCTCTAATATGGTTGAAAAGATGCCTACTCATACGAAAACGGCGGCATAATTTTTGATGTTTGAACAACGGGTTTGTTGTATCAAAGTAGTCCCTCCAAAGAAGGAAATGCCCGCTCTCTCGGTTGCGATTCAACACCTGAAGGTGGCCGGAATGGAGCCACGGAACAACGGCCGCTGGCTGTTGAGGTGGTGATGGACCAACACGGCAGCCAATATCTCCTCCTCGTCGTTGGAGGACGAATCGTCAGAGTCGCAAAGGAAATTGTGGAAAAAGAACTCATCGGCGGAGTCCATTTTGTACCTTGGCAAATTGTCGAACAACTTGTGGGCATCGACGAAGGAGAAGGCCGGCGAGGGGAGTCGCAGCGCGCACGGACCAGCTAGCTGCCCTGCCGGCGTCTGACGAGTGGGCCGGCGTTCGATGAGCGTGCCGGTGAGGATCCGGCCGGGGCGGCGAGGTGGCTTCTTGGTCACGCGCGGCTGTGCGGTGGGGGGAGCGGGGGTGGGAAGCAATCTGCTCCCCAGCGGCAAGACGACGGTGGCGGGCGACGGGGGAGTGGGCGGCGTTGCTGGGCGGATGTGGAGGCGGCGGCAACTGGCAGAGTCGCCGACAAAAATGGGCGGCGGCGTCGGCAACGAAGGAGGCGGGCGAGGGTTGCTGTTGGATGGGGGGTGAGGGGGGAGGCCAATGTGCCACCGACCAGTGGGCCCGGGGAGAGGAGAAGGCGAGCATGCGTGCGTCCGCCGCGTGTCCGCGCTGACGCAAATTCGGCTCAAAAATGGGCCGAGAATGGGTCGCCCGTGGACGAAAAGCGGACGCGCGTCCGTTTGGGTCGGCACATTGGGCCGCCTTTTGTGTCCGCGCCGACCTAAATGGAAGGCAGCGGACGAAATGGGTCGCCCCATTGGAGTTGCCGTAACCACCCACCCTTTAATGGCGCCGTCGCTTCCTTGGGTTCGCGGGGCGGCCGTTCGGATGCTCGTCAGGCGGCATCGTACCCTATAAAAGTTCGATGGGACACATCCCATTCACCACAACCCTAGCCGCCGCCCCCTTCCTCGATTCCTCCTCCCCTCCCCAGAATGACGTCGAGTTGGAGGCACGCAGTCTATTGGCTCAACTACTTGTCCCAATCACGCTGCACCGACGGAGCGAACTCCCCCCTAGGGTACCCAACGCTTCTTCTTTCCATGTCGGTGTTTCCCCATACCCCGACAGCTCCCGTGACAACGACCGCGAGTGATGTGTCGGCTTCCATGGGGCTAGTGGCATCGATCTTGCACCTCGGGCGCCATCGTATCCATCATCAAGGACAATGGCCCCGTCGCCCTCGAGCTGGAGCCCGAGGACACTGTTAATGTCAGTTGCAACTCTTTGTCCTCAAAGTGGAGGGGCACCGCCGCGACAAGGAGCACATTCACCAGGGGATCTGCCCTGCTACCACCGTCGAGGAGGAGCAGCGGCAGCTCAAGGTCGTTGCTCGTGAGTCCGGTCCCTATGCCTTCTTCAAAGATCTATGGGGGAGTATGATGACTAGACGGCGGCAACGACTGTTTCGTGGGTCTAGAGTAGTACATAACAATGTTGAATAACGACATTGCACAAATTTTGAAAATGTCACTTAACGACGTTTGAAGCCGCAAAAAATGTATTATGGCGACTTTTGGCCACTAATATAAGTATTTCGTGTTTGCTAATGATTTGAAGTGGTTTGGTTCAACTAAGTATACCTTGAATTGAGCATACAAAGAAGAAAACAAAAAACAAATCAAAATAAAAGATATGGAGGCCACATTATGGCGACTTTGTGTTTGCGTACAGTCGCCACAACCTCCAAAATCATGCTCTTATGAACATGTACATATGAAAGCAGACACACCATTCATTCTGCCCTAAGAAACATTCATTCGCTGAAAGAGTGAAACACATCATAAGTATTGAAACTATTGAAGGTATACCCATTTCGTTTTGAAGATAATTAAACAAAACCACTACATAGTCCATGGTAGCAGAAAACTAGCACAATTGGTCAAAACCCCAAATAGGCACCACTTTTAAGGCATACAAATATCATGATAATAACCCAACAAGCCGATAGATCTAACCTATCGAGTCGGTCTGGAGAGACGCCGGGTCATTTCAGTTGTTGGTTAAAGTGGTCGGGACGCAACCGTTTAACTCTTGTGCCCACAGTCATCTTCACTTTGCAACTCCCCCTTGTCGGTGTCAAAACCGGTCGATCTCGGGTAGGGGGTCCCGAACTGTCCGTCTGAGGATCAAAGGTAACAGGAGACAAGGGACACGATGTTTTACCCAGGTTCGGGCCCTTTTAATGGAGGTAATACCCTACTTCCTGCTTGATTGACTTTGATGAGTGTAGGGGTTACAAGAGTTGATCTACCTCGAGATCGTAATGGCTAAACCCTAGATGTCTAGCTTATATGATTGTGATTGCCTCTACGGACTAAACCCTCCGGTTTGTATAGACACCGGAGGGGGCTAGGGTTGTACAGAGTCGGTTTACAAAGAAAGGAAATTACACGTGTGGCCGCCAAGCTTTGCCATCCACGCAACGGAGAGTCCCATCCGGACACGAGGGAAAACCTTTTTATCTTGTATCTTCACGGCCCATCAGTCCGGCCCATGTCACATAGCCAGGACGCCCAAGGACCCCCTTATCCAGGACTCCCTCAGTAGCCCCCGAACTCGCCTTCAATGACGACGCATTATCCGGCTTTATATCTTCGGCTTTGCAAGGCGGGTTCTCCATTACACTTCGGTTTGACGATAATCCGGCTCCACATTAAATATCATATTCTATTTTGCTGCCGTCGCCTCGGCTTCCACGTGTCGGATGAATGCGAACGGTCTAGGTGTGTTTTTACAAATAACCCCTCGACCATGCAGGGGAGGCGTCTATTTAAGGATATTGGATCTCAGATGCCATTCCACACCATGGGGAAATCCTTAGAACTCGCCATAGGAAACTGTCCAAACATGGCCGGTGCTCCTGGCTCTTCCTCACGTCCCCACGGCCTCCAAAAAGGTGACTGGGAAAGTTGCTTAATATCCCGCGCCCATCTGAATAAACTTCAGACGCAGGGATATCTTCCTCCTACAGATCTAATATCCGTTCGGGCTGGATTAGCTTCCCACAATGGCGAAGCCCTGGCGGAGAATTTCCCCAATCATTCTAAAGAGGAGCGGGTGTGCTTCATTTCCTTCCTTTTGAGGGGCGTAGAATTTCCTATCCACCCCTTCCTTAGAGGTCTCTTGGAGTATTATGGCCTCCAACTGCGCAACCTAACACCAGGCTCCATCCTGCATATCGTGGGCTTCGTTGCTCTTTGCGAGCTGTTCCCAGGCTGTGAGGCTCATTTCGAGCTATAACAAAAAAATTTCTGCCTTGTCCCCCGCTCCAAAAAGGGATCTATGTTCGAGGTGGGCGGTGCCGAGGTGTGGCGCATAGCTGGGACAGGATACCTACCCGGCACTCCGAATAAGGCATCCGAAGAGTGGCCCTCGGAATGGTTTTATATTGAAGATGTCGTTCTGCCGGACCCAATCTG